ACCTGTGAATTTTGTAAGAATTTTTACAATATCAAATGAATACTTCCAAACTTTTAAAAATCTAAATTAAGTACATTACGATTTTGTAAGTTTTAGAAAAAAATCTTTATAAATCCTAAATGAATACCCGCTTTAAAATTTGTAAGTTCCTTAGACTTTTAATTTTTAGGACTTTAAAAGTCATATTTGAGAGATTAAAAAAAACATTTAGATTTAATGAGATTTTAAAAGAAAAAAATCATATACGTATTTTCACTTCAAATCTTACCTCTAGATTTAACTTTTAAGATACATCGGATTTATTATAAACTATTTATTATAAACTGAAACATTTCTGAAACATTTGTTTATGGAATTTTTTTGTTTGTTAGATATTTTGGTTTGGTTTGGTTACTTTTGAAAAAAGTGGTATGCTTAGTTGGTAGCGGAGTTAAAAATTGTGAGTGAATGAATAGTGAATTAATGTTGATGTGATGTATATGAATGATTAATTGATATTATTTAATTATATTAATAATATTAATGATAGTGTGGTTGAGTTAAAGTTGAATTAAAATAATAGTTGGATTAAAATGATGAATTTTTTTTGAAAATTTTCATAAACAAACATGCTTTAAAATCTCAAAGTTTTAAAAAGTCTTAGAAATATCACTAAAAAATGTCAAATGAATACAACCTCTTTAGTTTCTAAGTTGTATTGTTTTTAATTTATGACTCGTTTAGTAATGGTTTTGTATAATCTAATTTTAAGAGTCATTTAAAAAATATGCAATTACCTAATATACTTTTATTGATAGATTTTTTTTTCCACTACAATGATATTTTAAGTTTTTCTTTAACTTTTTCACCTATGAACCTCGGAAAGTGCTATGGTTCCGTTATGAAACCATCTTGCTAGAATTTGTAATCGTTAAATTAACTATATATTACCGTTACAAAATTTGACATAATGATTGTGTAACGGGACTTAGCATTTCCCAAAATACTAATACACTTTACATATTATATAAGAAAAAAAAAACTATGAATTAAACAAAAACGAAAATAGTGTAAAAAAAAAAAAAAAAAAATATTGATCTGAAGTCTGAAAGACAAAATGAGATTTTTTTAAACGACGGCGAAAGAGATATGCTTCGCCATATACTCTGCAAAAAGTTCTCTTATTTTCTCACAAAGAATCTCAAATTCACAATTATCCAAATAAAAAACACGCGCGCGCGCGCGCACACATATATATGCACTCTCATATATACACTGATGCATTGAAGCTTGAATCGAATTGAGCTAAAATGGGAACCCTATCCAGCTTCAGCCCCAGCTTAGCCGCTCCAAATTGGTGCGGTTTTGGTGTAAAATTTCAGAATAGCCACAGCAGCAAGTTTTTCCTGTGCGGAGAAACTTTGTTGAGGAGGAGACGGCGGTTGGTCTCGGAAGGCGGCTCAGGGAGGTTTAATCTTACAATCAAGTCGTGCTACAATGGCGGAAACAATCGGAACGATGATAGAAGTAGTAACGGTGCTGAGCGAGATAGTACAGAGAACTCAAATTTAGCTACAATGGCGACGGCAGAGAAAAATTCCAATGATAATGGCGATGAACCGTCGGTTTCTGTGTCTTCCCGTGTGAGCATCTCTCTCTCTCTCTCTCTCTCTCTCTCTCGCTCTGTGTGTGTGTGTGCGTGTGAACATCTTTAGGCTAGTTAGATAGTAGTTTGGTATAATGAGTTGTAATTTTGTTATAGGAATGTGGTGTAGTACCCCAAAGATTACATTTTTACGGGTCTATTAGCGGGTGATAGCATTATGGCTGCTGGATTTCATTTAATTTGTTGCCACAGAAGCAATAGACGTTGTGCTCAGATAGCAGCATTTGGGGATTTTGGTGGAATGTACAGAATCAGTAATGTTGTATGTTGCTCGTAAGAGCAACTGATTGTCGAGAACTGATTGTCGAGAAATCTACTCACTGAATGAAATACTAGAAAATGCCGAGTAAAGTCGTGATGATGCTGAACTATGTAAGGATGCAAACGAGTTAAGTTCTATTTAGTTGAGCTGATGGGAATTTTTCTAATTCAGAATGGGTCAGTGTTCTAAACTATCGAGTTCTGGTTTGCTTATGAATGTTTGACGATGAAAGGTGGTTCAGTATAAATAGTACACGTATTTTAACATTTAACAATAATCATATTACTCATCTTCTTTTGTTTCCTTCAAATAGTGTAGTTATTGTATATAATCTGAATTGAAATACCGCATAAGAAACAAACTGATCATCATCGAAAAGGAATGGATATATTGCTATTATATTACCATTTTGCACTATCTTTCCAGTTAAACTATAATGTATTATGAATTGAAAGCTGGTAGCATGTTCACCCCAAGTTTGAGTCAAGCGTCTCTTGACTGAGTGTCTCCTGGGCTCTCACGGGAGTTGCATGACTTAAGTTCTTTGCACAAAGCGAACTCTTCAAACTCTTCAAAGGATGGTAGTCTATCGTGTACACTTCAGTTCTCTAGGATGGTAATCGACTGTGGACACTTCAGTTTGACTGAGAACTTTATATTAAACATCTTTAATTTATTAATTAGTCATGTCTGACGAGTAATTATCATTTTGGGGCTGCACACAGTAGAAACAGTAGCTTTGCAGGTGAATGTGGCGTGTGATTGATAAGAACATAAGATTAGATCATGAATAGCATCTGAACAATACAAAAACTTGGATCACTTAAGCCTTTTAAGTTCACTTAAGCGGAAGTTTGAATAATGCAGTCTCTAATAACATTTTTTTGTATTCATTAGCCGCAAACAATTTCATCAGTTGGACCTGCTTACAGTAATTTCCAATTAGACTCTTTTAAATTGATGGAGCTTCTGGGCCCGGAAAGAGTCAATCCAGCTGACATAAAGGTTATCAAGGAAAAGTTATTTGGCTACTCGACCTTTTGGGTAACTCGAGAAGAACCGTTTGGTGATTTAGACGAAGGCATTCTTTTTCTCGGCAACCTTCGGGGAAAGAGGGAAGATGTTTTCATGAAACTTCAGAGCCAACTAACAGAAGTAATGGGCGGCAAATACAACCTATTTATGGTGGAGGAGCCTAATTCCGAAGGGGAAGACCCCCGGGGTGGGCCCCGGGTCAGCTTTGGCTTGCTGCGGAAAGAGGTTTTAGAATCAGGTGAAACAACACTTTGGCAGTATGCGATTGCCTTTCTGTTGTTCCTTCTCACCGTTGGCTCATCAGTGGAGCTCGGAATAGCATCTCAGGTATGATATATCTGAATGTAATCTGTGTTGGTTGATATGCATGCCAAATATCTTGCATCATAATTATTGGTCCATCAATTTCATTTTTACATTAGAAGTCCTAAATCAGTTGTGATTTTCATGATGCAGATTAATAGACTTCCTCCGGAGGTGGTCAAATATTTTACAGATCCTAACGCTATTGAACCCCCGGACATGAAGCTCCTGTTTCCATTTGTGGATGCTGCTTTGCCTCTGGCTTATGCCGTATTGGGTGTTCAACTATTTCATGTAAGCCGTAAGCATGGTCATTTCTCCTCCCTCCCTCTCTATTGTCTTTTAAGGCAAAATAGCATGGAGTAATGAATCTGCTCCTCCTGCCTCCTGCCTCACCTATCCCTAACAGAAAGAACTAGAAGGGCAGGTAAATATAAAAAATGTTAGCCTGGATAGGACGAATTGGCATCAGTAATTAGAGATGAAATAGGTTCAGAAGAAAAATAAAATAAATAAATAAAAATAACACTAGCCTTTGTTTGGCTGAAGGAAAGGTAACATCTGATGTTAAATCAGTCCACTGTTCTCATTTAAGTTTGGATTCAAGTGTTTAGAATACCTAAAGTCAATGTGTAAAAGGATATTTATGCTTACCATAGTTTCAGTACTGCATAATCAAATTGCTATCCCGATAATAACCAACTATGTTATGCAATTGACATTTTTGAGGCAGATTCCTTCTATTTTTATTTTTTTTTATTTTATTTTTTTTTTCTTTTGTTGTTGTTCTTCTTTTGAAACTATCATCGGTAGATAAAAGGTGGTCTCACCTATAGGATTTTCATGCCATGCCATTTCAGAAATCAATAGCCAAATGTGGGGTTTTCTTTTCTTTTTTTTTTTTTTTCCTATTTTGTTTTGGTTTCGTTTTTAAAGATATTTTTACAATTAGTTAATACGCTGCAGGAAGTTGGGCATGTTTTGGCTGCTTTTCCACGGAAAGTGAAACTAGGTATTCCATTTTTCGTTCCAAACATTACCCTGGGGAGTTTTGGAGCAATCACTCAGGTAAGCATAATATAAGTTGCTTCTTCTAATAATGTCTCCCGTTGCTGTAAAGTGATTGCAATCACTCATGTCATCACTTTAGTTCGTTTCACAAAATAGTGAAATCTGCAACTTTATTACGTGATGAATTAGATTTCGGGGTGGGTTGGATTTGGAAGATAACATGTATTTTCTGTATCATGCATTTCAAATCGAAGTACCAGAAAGGTTAAAGTTATCAAAAGTGCTCCCAGCAGTCGCATCATATGATTACTTCATAGTCTTTTCTGCTAATGCTGAAATCCACCAACTTTCCATCTCAAGATCATTGTCACACAACAATAGTCCTCTTGTTTTCTGACATTAGAAAGTGAATCAAGGATGTTTGTTGCACTTTTAATGGCCTTTAGGTCTTAATTATTGCTTTCTTCTGTAGTTCAAATCCATCCTTTCTGATCGGAAAGCCCTAGTAGATATTTCGTTAGCCGGACCATTTGCAGGCGCTGCACTGTCTTTCTCTATGTTCACTGTTGGCCTGCTGCTCTCATCAAACCCATCTGTGGCAGGAGAACTGATTCAGGTCCCAAGCATGCTTTTTCAAGGTTCTTTGCTTCTAGGTCTTATCAGCAGAGCTTTTTTGGGTTATGCGTAAGTTCCTTTTTTTGCTGAATTCTCTATGAAGGAACTTTAGTATAATTTGACTGAGAAGAAGTACTCTCTCTCTCTCTCTGTCTCTGTCTCTCTCTCTCTCTCTCCCTCTCTCTCTCTCTCTCTCTCACTCACTCACACACTCACTCTCTCTTTCATCTGTTTGTGTAAGTGTTTTACTTATATATTCATGCAATCTTGTCTGTCTCGTAATAATTTTTTTACATTTCTCATTTATTTCTACAGGACTTTGCATGCATCTACTGTTTCAATCCATCCTCTGGTGATTGCTGGCTGGTGATGTGTCTGTGGAACTTTAATATATATTATAATTTGAAGAGAATGCTTAATGCTGAGCTGTGTGTTCGTAGGTGTGGATTGACATCCTCGGCTTTTAATTTACTACCGGTGGGATGTCTCGATGGTGGAAGGGCCATGCAGGTAGCTCGTTTATTTCCTCACCCG